GGTAGCCCTGTGGTTAAAGCACTCGCACATCATCTCAACAGACTGGGTTCGACTCCCCACATGTGAACAGTCTGAGAGGCCCATGAAAACGTCATCTGTTGTGATTATTTCAGGAATATGGCCAAAGGTTGGGTAAAACTCCTGTCACTACTCCCTTACAGGAATCGATTGCCGTTCCGTATTCTGTAAATGTAAATGATGATATATGTGTACAATATGTATTTGAGTGGGTTGGGTGAGTTTGAAGGATGACTCATATGATTCCATGTAAGGTTGGGTTTTTGCTGTGATAGCAGCCTTATCTACTGATGTCATGTAGAGCAGTAAGAGTGGTTGAGTGAGTATTAGAATTAAAACTTCTATATCATTACATTTAAAATATGCATTTAATTGCAGAAATGTGAGACTTAAAGAACTGAACAAAATACAGCTATGCATACCTATAATAAGGCCTGGGATGTAATACATGCATACCTATGTCCTATAATAAGGCCTGGGATATAATACATGCATACCTATGTCCTATAATAAGGCCTGGGATATAATACATGCATACGTATGTCCTATAATAAGGCCTGGGATGTAATATATGACAGCTCTCCAAGTGTTGGCTGGCATTTAGTCATAGACGATATTTCATGTGTTGAGTGAAATATCATGTTTCTCCCATCCAGGGAGATATTTTCGAGTGGCGTATCCACGAGTGAAAATATCTCCTTTTCCCTGTCACGAGAGGAGAGAAACATGATTTTTCGCGAGACATATGGAATATCCTATTTATTACACCGGGGTATACGTTTTGTGTAGGTGTCTACCGGAAATTTATTTATAAATTAAAATATTTCATTGAAATTGTAAAACCTTGAAACACAAATTCTCCCTCCCTAACACACAGGGACGACAGTTCACCACCCCTTGTGTTTGCGACTTAAAAAGTAGTTTAGTGTTTGCAAAACCTTAAACAATCTAAACAAAAGTATGCAAAAATATTAAGGGTCATGAAAAAATTTGTTATCATACAATTAGATATGATTTTATACAAAATCAACTTTAACAAAAAATATTCTTCAAAACTAGGAGACTGCTGTTGGAAGCAAAATAATACATGCTGGTCAAGTAACAAAAATGGCGCCTTGCGAAACGAATAGTATCGATTGACGAGTTAAATGAGAAATTTACAGTGCATAAAGAAAGATTTTTGAGAGAATAACAAACGGCAAGATGTGGTATTAACTCCATACATGACCATCTGTCATTATTTTGCCTTGTCAATTAGGAACTAACGTAAATAGGAAGTCAACAATTTGTTACGGGCAAGACACTTACAATAAAGGGAGACAACTTAAGGGGAGGTAACTCTTGTATGAATAGCTCTGTCAAAGTGTTATGTTCACTGCAGTGAAATATCAAGTGTTATGTTCACTGCAATGAAAATATCCCTCTTCTCAACTTCGGAAAACTCATTCTTTCACACTGAAGTATATAATAAATGAAATGAATTGGCCTCCCATAACATTTTGCTATTGCCATGGAAACATGTTTGTCTTACTAATTAATCAAGTGAAGGATGAATCTGTTTGTGAAATCTCATCACCTTGCAATATTACGTCTGTCAACACCACACATGTACATGGTGGGGATGTTTATGCTATGATTGTTTATATATATAGTTGACGGCCAACGTTTCATTTAATCAAGATTATACATATACAAAATTGGAGTCAGTTCATTTGGTTTGTTGAGAACAAATTGCTGGAAAAGTTTCAAGGATTTAGGGCATATATGCTGCTTAAAAGAAATTAAAAATCAGCCAATTTTTTAATATCACTTTATATAGTTGTTAGTCTGTGACATGACAGATTAACTATAGCCATATTAAAAATCGGGTATTCTTTAACTTCTTATAAGTAGTATAGTTTGCCTGGCTGCTGAGTTTGAGGTATGATGTTTTGAGAATAAAAATAGACTGCACACAGAAAACAATTGAAATGCATGTGTATGCTTTTTCCAAGCTTGACTCACTCACATCCATCTACTTCCATTTCATGAAGCAACTGGGATACAAGAACCCAGTTTATTGTCTGTGAATGAGATATAATGCCCTGAACAAATATATCCATGTCACGGATGTGCCTAAAAAGTAAGTGTAGCCATTTCTACTCGTACTTCCTGACTACCGGCCTTTCTGGGACACAGCGCTAGGGGACATTGATACCAGGATATAAATAACACATGCAATGTAACACTCATTAGACTCGGCAAGCTCTCTTTTATCCAAATTAATTGCAAAAAATGTCTAACACAACTGAAATATACTACAGCAATCACATAGTTTCCACAAGTTTATGATTGTATACAAAAAGTTAAAATGTTTCCTTGCAGTGTGAACACAACAGTTTGCAAATTGGTACTTCAAATATGTTTTTTATTTATTGAAACAAAGACTGGTTCCAGTCTGTATGGCTTCTATAATTACACCACCAGTCCGTTTCCCAGTGGAAATGTCGCTCTGACCTTGATTATGGTAATTAATAGTGTGTAATTTGCTAACCAGTTGTATGTTTGTCAGCGGTGAGTAATGCCCTGTGTTGAGACAGCCAAGAGAGAGCAGATGCTAGGCTCAAGATGAGGACCGGAGGCACATGCAGCTTGCTGTAGCTTCAAAGAGGAGACATAAGATTCGGCCCTTATGTTTTCTGATTCACCATTATCACTTTTTGCTTGCTGAATGTAAAAACCTGTTTCTTTTTAATTGTCTTCATTACTTCTCTCAAGGCCACTAGAGTTATCTCCCTTGTACTAAGATTGGACAGGGCAGTGTGGGAAGCAACAGTGAGAATATCCATTGTGGGCAGGCACTGTTGTCGCTAGGGTATCAAGTGTATCACATGAATCTATGAATAATTGTTGGTAATACAATGTATGAGTCAGACTTGAATATATTACTCATGTTGGTATCGTTAGAATCATGCAAAATATGACATATTGTTCAACATTGATGATCGTTCAGTGGACAATAATCTATTAATCATAATTTGTTTCATGTCATATTCTTGAGCATCTGAATCTCTTGACTATGTCAGCCATGATGGAAAGTCTTTATCACTGTGTTTGTGGGCAAGGGTAGCTTTATGGTAAGCAAGGATTATATCCTACCTAAATATTATCCTGGAGGAAGTTTTACTCTGGAGTATAGTATAGGATAGGATTAAACACACTGGTATGGGTTCAAATTCACTAGGGAGAATCAACCTGACACTAGAGAATTTCATCCCCGGGATAAAAAATATTCACTCTTACATTATCATATGCTTTATAGTGATATGGGGGGCGGTCAGGTAGCCTAGAAGTTAAAGTGTTAGCTCGTCACGCCGAAGACCCGGGTTCGATTCCAGGCATGGGTACAATGTATGACGCCCATTTCTGGTGTCCCCCACCATGATATTGCTGGAATATTGCTAAAAGCGGCATAAAACCATACTCACTCACTATAGTGAGTGAGTGAGTATGGTTTTACGCCGCTTTTAGCAATATTCCAGCAATATCACGGCGGGGGACACCAGAAATGGGCTTCACACATTGTACCCATGTCGGGAATCGAACCCGGGTCTTTCGCGTGACGAGCGAACACTCACTATAGTGATATGGGCGATGGCATAGTGGGATCAGGTCCAGCAACTCACTGTGTAGAGGAAGCTAGTCATGGGTTCAAATCCCATCCTTGGTTTGTCAGCACCATGCACAATTTTAGGTTTTGGTAGGCATTTGCAATGAGTCAATTAGAGCTTCCATCCCATTAAGATGCCCTGCTCACTCACTCACTCTTCACATGCAGCATTCGAAGGTTTCATGTCAAAGAATAAAATTGAAACTTAAATGTATAGAGTTGGATGGCAATCTTATTACTTGATTTATTGATGCCTGTTTGAAGTTGGAATCAGGTAGTTTGTCTTGATGGTATATGTCTGTGTATGTACATGTGTTGACCTGAATGACTCATGTTGCTGTCCCTGTGTGCTGGCCCACCTGAGAGGCCATGTCAAACACCTGTCACATGTGCATCTGCCTCGTTATGCTCAGGTCTGCATTGTTTCTCTCTCGGACATCTGTCAGTTCCATCTCAGTTACTATATTAATGTAATTGATATTTAAGTTGTTTTCACACCGCAGTCATGTAATCAATATTAAAGTTGTATCCCCAGGAAAAAACATGTTAAGACTCACATTACCTTCATAGCCTCTCAGGGGCGGTCGGGTAGTCTAGTGGTTAAAGCGTTCGCTCGTCACGCCAAAGACCCAGGTTCGATTCCCGACATGGGTACAATGTGTGAAGCCTATACCTTGTGTCCCCAGCCGTGATATTGCTGGAATATTGCTAAAAGTGGCGTAAAACCTCACTCACTCACTCACTCACTCACTCACTCACTCACTCACTCACTCACTCACTCATAACCTCTTATCTTTAAATTGTTTGATAGGCATTATTTAGAAGTTGACGGATGACAAAGTAGACACAATTTTATGGATAACAACTTCTTTAATACTGTAAAGGTGATGTTTCGGTCTAGATCCTTATACCGTTGTCAAACAAGTCTTGTTTCTTATCTTTAGTTGTAACTTGTAAATTTCACAAGTAGAACATTTACAAATGTAAAAATAAAATTGAATTTATTGCAACAAGTGAACAATTATCAACATGACCAGCAGGCATTTGTTGAAAAAAAAATCAAAGGTTATGTTAATACCTGAAACTTATCCTTTGACCTCTATATGAAACTAGGCAAGATATTATGGGGAAGTTTGCATGAATCAATTTTTCTGAGCTAACTCTTTCAAAATATGCAGGCACATTATTTTATGCATGATCAGTGATATATATGATGTTATTGGTATTGTATTGTGATCCAGGATAATCCCGACACAATGCTATTGTATGTTGTACCATGGGCCTCATAGTGTCGCTTTAACAACATCATGTAATTCTATTATGTTTCTTTCAGATTTGCTTGACTCTGATGTGCCATATCCAGTGAAGCGTGAAATCGACCCCATGTCTCAGTCAATGTATGATGCTTCGACCTCCGACCCAATGACGCAGTCAATGTACGGGTACGACAATGGTTTACCTGATGCCGCCCCCGTTTTGACAGAGATACCCAATGCATTTGATTCGCTGTGCTCTAACGGAGATGCACAATACCTTGGGAGTGAGGACCAGGGCAGTGTGGAGGGCATGCAGAATGGATCTGGACCTGATGAAGGACCTGATGCGGGTCCAGTTCCAGAAGGAGTTCTGATTGACTTTGGAGGCCAGATCCAGAATCCCATTGATTCAGCACCTATGCCAGAGCCCTCCCCTGTGATACAGAGCAAGCCCCCGGAACCTCAGTTGATGTCACAGGAGCCTGGCATGTCACAGTTGAGCAAGCAGACGGCCGAGAGACCCGACATGCTTGGTGATCTCATAGCCACAGAGCCAGCACCAGTCTCACAGGACAAGCAGCCGAATGAAGGGAAAAGTTTCGGGGAAGTGAGCGCTGCGCAGCAGACACAAGCTACGACAGACAGTAGCGTTAGTCATAACATGGATGGGGGTGGGGATCTCATGTCTGAGGGGGAAACAGTGAAGGGGGGGACACTGCAAGGGGGGACGGCAGGTGACAGTCAGCCTGTAAATGGGGATGTACAACAATCCATGGAGTACACAAATACAACCAGATCTGTGACAGAGTCTAATGGTGAGGTTGCCACGGTGACCAGGACAGAGGAGACGACTATGGTTAGTAGGATACCACAGAAGCCTCCCTCACCAAAGAAATCTGGGGTGCCAGTTCTCCGTTCACCAAAGAAAGAGGCGGCAGTTGATGTGGGCCCAGGTTGGGATGACTCTATCACTGTCACCCACCCACGCTCACGACCGGCTCATCTCCTGCCCAGAAATATGAAAGGTAATATTTACATACTAAATTTCAATCGTTACAAAGGTAATGTCATTTTTGACATGTAATTAATCCATCTTCACCTCCTGTTAAGATATGAAAAACGGTATTAGTTATTTGGATGTCAATATTGGTAGCAATGACCTTGGTTTATTGTTAACGATTATTTAAGTGATCCACGGTTGTAAAATACATTATAAAGGGCAACAGTGTTACGGAGGTCGGTACACTGGGAACACAGGAAACTAACCAGTTTTCGTAATAGGTCAGGTACTGAATGCACGCTGCAGTGACAGATGTTCTGGAAATAATCAAAATTTATATGTCTGTAGACAGATGCAGTTTCTGTGAGGATGTGTTTTGTTTGCAAACAAGAACAGAATATTCTGTGGTTTCATCATTACAGAAACAGCTGTCAAAGCTTTAGTTATGGGATTAAGGAATCAGGAGTTGTTTCCCTTGAACTGCAACCGGCACAGTTATCACATCAGTTTGATGATTCTAAACTAGCACTAGTTGTATGAAGTCTTAGTTTATTTCCTGTTTTATAACTAGCAATACACGTATTATACCAACCAACCTGTAATTCCTTTTATGTAAAAGGTAAAAAAAAATAATTTGATTTTTGACAATATATCGACATAAATGCAACTCACATGGTGACATTTTGATATAGGTTCGTACACTGTTGTAAATTCAGTATAAGAAGGGAGTTTAACAGTACATATCCTTATGATGGAGATCAAGAATAGCCTGAGTAGAGATGAAAGGGAAGATTTACAATAAAACTTTAAAATTGATAGGTTTAGATATAGATCAAGGTGCTGATCATATAAATTATACAAATCTATTTTTTATTAATCATCTGTTTAGGAGATTGCAAGTTGAAGTTGATTGAATAGCTGTCATGGATATACGAATAGGAATGCACAGTATTCTTTTAATCAGAATTTATATGCATAAAATTGACTAGATTGTCTTTTGAGATGCCCCCTTCAGCTGCTTTGAGATTCAGCTGAGATAAACGAGCTGTCATACCTGATGTTTTTATCAGCTGAAATCTCAGGTATGTCAGAGGAGGCAACTCAGCTGTGAATTATGTCTGAAATAAAGAATATCTAAATCTTATTATCCCATGCCTTGCGGACAAGTACAAGTGAGATTGAATACACGTATTGGTTTATTGGACTAACCGACCAGCTAACCGTGACTGATAGGAATCAGATGACTTGGTAATTACTGTGAATGTGTTACTTTTACCATGCGTGGGTATTAAACAGGCTTTTTATTAAACACGTAATCACTTTGAACAATATACTTTTGTGTTATAATCATATGAATTTACAAACTGCATAAGGTTGAGAATCAAGAGCAGTCTGTCATGCTTGACAGCAACTTGATTTGATTGTAGTTACCATTAGGCCGAACCAATTTATTTCCTTCTTTTATATATTTTGTGGATCATTATGCCAAGAGGGGGGAGACAAAATATTAAAATTTAAAAGGTTGTCAGGGTTGACTATAGGTTAATTACCTCACTAAACTTTGAAACAAATGTTTGACAGAATTACACGTAAAATGTTAAACAAATATTTTCAATCAAATGCATCATTGTTATTTTTCTACATTGTATAATTTAGTGACTGCTTGTCTGAGAATATACTATGTAACATTTCGTAGGGATAATCAGATATATCATTCTATTTAAATATACACTTGACATATCACATGATGTTTTTCATGGAGATATAACAATATCCAGTAAAATATATATGTGACCAACCATGAGATAAAAATTCTTAAGGGTGAAAAATTACATTTTGACTTCTCATAATATTTAAAACTGCAGTATCCTAGGAACACAAAACTACCATTTACATGCTTCAATTCATTTTTATTATAGAAATACATGACATCAAACATTTGGACTCATTTTCTACAGAGCCCCATTTTCAGACGTATGACTGATTGTGTAAAAAACATTAATTGTTATAGATATCATATAATGCCTGATTAATTGAAAGAAGACATGTGTGCTGAAATGTTTTGAAATAATGTTTTCATTACATTACAAACTAAAGAGAGGAAAAAAAGATTTTTTTGTAAAGTTCACACACATGGTGATTTTCACTGTGGTAAGTTGACGTCAAACGTCTCTCTTTATGACGTCACAGCACAATTGTATCCTAGCACCCATAGGGTCCCTTTGCTCCGAGTGGGTCATATATATAGTTTGGCTGTAATATGATAGTATGTTAAAAATAATAAAACTATTAAAGAACAGTTTCACAGATTTAATCTGCTTACAGGAAAGGCACAGCTATAATTGATAGCCTGTAACTTGTTTTTAACATGGAACCTATCTCTAATGGTCTTCCCAGTCATGATCAATTCCGTATGGGATGGTTATCATTAGCAGATATAAATAATGTTTAAATTTAGAAAATTGGATTAAAGATGACAGTCTTGAAAGAGAATATTTAAAAAAAGTTTCAAATACGATATCATCTCAGGAACCAGATCTCAATCTCGGCAGCGTTAAACGAAACATACATTTTCATGTTTTCATATCAGTTCATCGTAAACAGCCAAGAAGAACCAGAGAGCCATTTCTGACTATCATTTTATGAGATACGGTGGCAAATCTATGTTTACATTCATGGGTAAAACTATAAAGTATTTTCAGTAAAGATGGATTGTGTGTTACTTGTTTTTTCAATCTCATCTTTATCTCGTATGCTTGTTGCAGAGCCAACACCTCCACCAAGACCTCAGTCAGGGAGACAGGTAAGACAGCTTCTTCTTCTACCCAATAGTGTTCAGTGCTGGGATCAGCCGGTCCTGGGTTCGAATCCCAGAATCACTCTATTTATGATGCCTGGTTTGTTAGCACCATTCCCATGCTTGTGGGTTTCACTAAGGTGACAACCAGGTACGACCTGTGTCATAAAGGCTTTCATGTCCTATTGAACTGACACCCAGTGACATAAATGGAGTTGCTGAGGTTGTCACAACTAGGTGAGGTGAAATGGAGTATAACTTCGCGTCCAGGATTACGGCACTTATGTAGCGATGTGCATGTGTAAGCAAGGATTATATCCTACCTAAATATTATCCTGGGGGAAGTTTTACTCTAGAGTATAGTATAGGATAGGATTAAACACACTGGAATGGGTTCAAATTCACTAGGGAGAATCATCCTGACACGAGAGAATTTCATCCCCGGGATATAAAATAGGGAAGGATAATATTCACTCTTACACATGCACTTGTGTGTTTGTGGCCGTATGTGCTAGTCTGAACTGATGCCGATTCATCATCTAAGTGCTAGCCCACTGAGACTCCGAGCCGACCAGTCCTTGGTTTAGCCCCTAAATGCATATTGCCAGGCAGGGTAAAAACAAGTACCATCTTTTAACATAGCTTGGGATCAAACCCCGACCTTCCGCACTCCAGGCTGACACTTTACCACTACACCAAGGAGGCTGTCCTGTTAGAACTAACTATAATGAGGTATTGGCAATATATCCCTGTTTTGATGCTTGGTGAAGAGGATTTTTCTCATGCTTTCAACTGAAGTTCTGTGTGGTCCAGACAGGGCATCGTGATACAGCTATATGTTGACCCTATATGGGACTAGCACAGTGGTCTAGTGGATAGAGCGTTTGCCTGGAGAGTGGAAGGGCATGGGTTTGATTCCCGGCCGCATTATACCAAAAGATGTTATAAGATGGTACTTGTTACCCTATCTGGTGCTTGGCATTAAGGGGCTAAAACAAGAACTTGTCGGCTAGGCGTCAGTATACTGTGTCTGAGTGGGGCATTCATGTTAAACTGCAGCATGGTATCTCAGTGGGCTGGCACTAAAAAAAGCAGCCCTGGTCTGGATTATTACAAGCATCCACATATGTAGTTTCATTTAGTGCAATAATCTTCAATGTGACATTGAACCCCGTTTCACCTCACCTCTCCCCAGTGACTTTAGGGTTGAAGTATTGCCTATTGAATGTTACATCACTTCCTAATAAGCATCTATGAAAGGTCGTATGAAGTGTGCAGCTATAATGACACCTCCTTAACTCCATGCCCTGGCAGATCAGCTCACCGTTATTGAGGATAGAATGTCTGCCTGGAGAGCAGAAAGCCATAAACGCATAAAACTGGGACTGGTCGGCTTGGAGTCAGTTATGATAATGTTTCTGAGTTGGGTATCCCTGCTATCTGCATCATGGTAGCCGGCTAGTGCTATAAAACCCACATCAGTCTGGACTAGTACAAGCAGCCACACACACATGTGCATGCATGTCGATATAAAAGTGCAATAATCTTGAACGAGACATTAAACCCCACATCACCTCAATTCACCATGTGGGGAAAATATCGACCACAAGTCAAGTGCCAGTATGAGACCCAAGTGCTACTAAGGAAGATCAGTTATGTCATCTCAAGTGACATGTCAAGTTAAATGTATTTGGAGTTGGGGTATTGGAGTCAGCAGCCACTGAAGCTGGCACACAGCTGTAAGTGTGGCATGGTATTAGTGTACCGGTATGCTGTCATTGCATCCCTTACTGTCCTGGTGATCCGTGAAGACCCGGGGTAGAATACGTCTACAGCAACCCATTCTTGCCGTAAAAGGCAAATATACTTGTCGTAAGAGGCGACTGATGGGATTGGGTGGTCAGGCTTGCTGTCTTGGTCAATGCATGTCATCATATTCCAATTGCGTAGATCATTGCACATGATGTCAATCACTGGATTGTCTGGTCCAGACTCCATTATTTACAGACCGCTGTAATATAGCTGGCGTTAAACAATAAACAAACAAACAAACAAACAAAAAATGGCTGTCCAGGTACACAGGCACATGACAAGGTGTATCATTACTCCCTTAAGGGCTCTCTGGAATGGCTTAGAAATACCTGTTGTGAGATTTCATTTCAACATTTCAACTATGAGACCAGCACTTATTACATGAATTCACTCAGGACATAATCTGTTTACAAATTGGTAGAAGCAGAGCTCCAGATAACTTATTGAGCAATTGAGTTTTTACTCTAGGGTTTCTATTTTAATTGGGTTATTATATTTTTCATTGGGTAACCAAGATTTTTTCACTCATTACGCTATTGGGTTTTCTCAAAATTAGTGAACATTTTAAGATAAAAAAACAAAGAAATAATGTTTTAGATGTATATAACTGTTCTAAATATATATGCTTGACTTGGAAAGTAAATTAGCTCGGAATTGTGTTTCAGAAATTAGCTCCTTTGTATGCATGCTGAAAAAGCTTCATTGGGTATTTACGCGAGCTGTTTTTATACACTTCAGGTTTTTATTTAATGCATGCATTTCTATACGCAAGTTAATTGAAAGTAATTGGGTTTTGAATATTTGGGGGGGGGTATTTTATCAGTAGATCTGAGAATGTAGAAAAATGTGGGATTTCTGTCAGATAAGGAGACATGAGGCTAATGTACTAAGAACCTAGCATCAAGTATTCTTTGACGTAATGATTGGGATGATGTTATCATCAGTTAGTCACGACTGATGCTCTGATGTGACAGCACTTTGCTTTGAGCAAACAATCAAAGCAATGATGTGTCTTCATTTGATGTTGAGTAAGGATAAGCATTTATGGATGAAAAACTTCTTTATTTTCATAAATCATTGTTCATCCATAAATTCTTATCCTTTCTTAGTCACTTCAACTTCTAAATGCCTATCAAAGAAGTACATTTGATGTTGTTTAACGTCACGTTGTAATATTGAAACTGTGACACTCAGCAATATTACAGTTACATGACAGCGGCAGTTCATAATCAAGTTTAGTCCAATAAAACTGATGATTGATATTATGAGCAACGCTCTACACTGTTGAGTTACGATGACATGCAATCAACCAAGTCACTGAGTCTGACCAACGGATCCATTGAGTCGTATCTTACAACCAGCATAGATTCATGAGAACAATGAAACAACAGAGGCATCAATTGGCAATCAGAAATATAATATTTTGTAGTAGCCTTTACTTGTAAAGATGGTTTTCAATAAGAATAAAAGGTTTTCATAGTTGCTGCAAGTGTCTCTCCCACAATAAACAGACCACTGTATAGATTAACAGAAACATCGCTGACGTGTGAATATATATTTTATTATAAACATCAGTGGGAAATCCTGAGTTTTTCCAAAGTTGAGAAAAGTAATATAACACTTGATATTTCACTGCAGTGAACATAACACATTGATTGAACTATTGTCGTACAAGAGTTACCTCCCCTGTCTCCCTTTGTCGCAAGTGACTAGCCCGTACACAAACTGTTGACGTTCTTTTTACATTAGGACCACATTGACAAGGCAAAATAATGACAGATTCCTCTCTAAAACGTTTCCTTATAAACTGTAAATTTCTCATTTAACTCGTCAATCGAGGCTGTTCGTTTCGGAAAGCATTATTTTTGTTACTTGACCAGTGTATATTCTTTCTCTTCCAACAGTGGTCTCCTAGTTTTAAGAATATTTTTTGTTAAAGTTGATTTTGTATAAAATCATATCTAAATGTATGATAATGAATTTTTGTGTCCCTAAATATTTTTTGATACTCATTATATTTTTAAAGATTTGGCAAACACAAAGCTACTTTTTAAGTCTCAAACACAAGGGGTGGTGAACTCCTACGCCACTTGTGAAATATCCCCCCCCACCCCCCACCCATCACTCCATGAGAGAAACAGGATATTTCCCTTGACACATGAAATATCCTCTATGTGCTGCAAATATAAGTGAAACCTGTAGGAAATATTGATACACTATTTTTATGATAAATATGATTAATGGTGTTTACATTATATCTACATGAATTGTTTCCACATTGTATGATACATGTAGTAATATTTTGTCAAACTGAATGTACTATAAGATAATGTGGATGAGAAGTACTTTTTCACAGCTGAAATGAGTGAGAATTAGAAGTCTGAAGCATTCTCACTTCATATATGTATGTTCTCAGTCATTACATTTGAAGGTTGAAAACTATTTGATCTTTGCTAGAGTTCAATGACGGCTTAAATAAGGAAAGAAATAAGAGAGAACTCTCCAGTTGTGTTTGAGCTGTTCCAACCCTGTATAACCATATCCCAAAGTTTACAATTCTGTCATGAAAGTATATTTAATTATCTATAAACACAACCTGACACTGACATGTATATAAACATAGTTAGCTGTACACGTCTACCAGTGATGGAACGTCAATCACGCTGAATGTTGAAAGGGCAGTCATGGCTGATGTGCTGGGATGAAACAATAGCTGTATAGGGATGTGTCCCTGACTGAAGCTATCCAGATATTGGACACTGCAGCACAGTGGTAGCAGATGTTCCATGGTTGACTGTTCTTCATGCACTGCTGATCTGTAATGCCTGATAATGAACCATTGAGATCAAAGCATGCGTGACGATGCATGTGTCAGAAATGATTATCTGAAATGAAACCATCTGTGTTACTGTGCGTGTTTCTATTCTTGCTTAGCTGGGAGGTCGGGTAGTCTAGTGGTTAAAGCGCTCTCTCGTCACGCCAAAGACCCGGGTTTGATGTTGTCCCCTGCTGTGATATTGCTGGAATATTGCTAAAAGTGGCGTACAACCATACTCACTCACTCTTGCTTCGGTTCAGAGGGAGCTTTTCGTCCATCAGATGAGTGAAAATATGAGGTGGTGAAGAATACAAACGGATAAGTTGTCTGTCGGTATATCAAGACATGGACTGGTTCACAATGTGAATGGAGACCC